AGCCTTTGCCAAGCTGTTTCAACACTACTGTTACCAAAATACTCACTGATATCGGAGCTGATCAAACGGCTTCTAACCCAAGAACTCCCGCTCAGAATGGTATGGCAGAACGCAGTATTCGAACCCTGGTTGAACTTGCCAGAACCATTCTGATAGATTCTAAATTACCCAAAGTATTATGGTCAGAGGCAATCAGCTACAGTGCAAACGTTCTGAATGCCGTAACGATTAACCCTGTTACAAATCAATCATGAGATATTCTACGGGAAGAAGCCTTACTTCGAAAGATTCAGACCATTTGGAACCCCATGCACGTATGTGATTTTGGAACCAACCAGAAAGAAACTAGACCCCCGGGGAATTCCTGGATTTCTTGTGGGTCTGGGCACGGAAGTCGCAGGCTACAGAGTCTGGTCACTTGGGAGAAAAGTTGTGGTGACAACCAAGGATGTCATATTCCCGAAGAAAAGTCCACTGAACAGTGGCAGTGCGCAAGGGGAAAATGAAGATGGTGAAGCTCAACCAGCGCCACCAGAGAATCCAGAAAATGTCTCAACCAGTGAAACAAGTGACCAACCAGCGGAGCAGCCTGGACCAAGCGACCAGCAGGAGACGAGTGACCAAACAGACGAAAGCGATCAAAACAGTGTAACACCAGCCGAACCACCACAGGCGAGCGGTTCGCGCTTAAACGAAACCGACTCTCTCCCAATGCTCCTGACTGGAGACGGTCAAGTCAGTACTAGGAGAAGAACTAGGAGACAGTACGAACTCAATCCTGAACGTCTAGCTTCATCGAGACCACGTATAAAAGAAACAATAGATTTGAAGTGAGGCATCCAGCTAATATTGCCATGGCGAATATTAGCGATTCAAACCAGATAAGAGAACCAAACTCATATGAAGAAGCTATAAATTCTGAACAACGTCAGGAATGGCTAGAAGCCATGCAGGCCGGAATGAACAGCATGAAGGCCTTAAACGTGTGGACTCTGACCACATTACCACCTGGACGCCGAAGTTTAGGCTGTCGGTGGGTTTTCAAGAAAAAACGAAATGCTGGGGGAAAGATCGGAAGATACAAATCGAGAATCGTTTTGAAAAGGGTATGCTCAAAAAGCTGGCATCGATTACAAGGAACTATTCAGTCCTGTGTCACGCTCCGAGTCCATCAGGCTCGTTCTGAACATTGCCGCAAAAGAGAAACTCGAACTCTTCCAGTTCGATGTTGCTTCCGCTTTCTTATCCGCGGAAATTGAGGAAGAATTATATATGGACCAACCGGAGGGCTTCCATGATAATACTCCGCGAGTATGTAGACTTAACAAGGCGCTTTACGGGAGTCGTCAGGCCCCCCGATGCTTCTATATGAAGATCAAATCTATACTCCTTGGTCTAGGACTCAGACAATGTCTCGCCGAACCATGTGTTTTTTACGGCGACAATGAGGACAGACTAATCGTATGCTTATACGTCGATGATGCAATTCTGGCAGGACGTACGGAGAAATCAATACTCGATTTCCTGACTAGATTAAAACAGCATCTCGAGATTACGTATGAACCGCTTGATCACTTTCTCGGAATACAAATTCACAGAACGAATGACATGAGCGTGGTCATGCGTCAAGAACGCTACACCCTTGATATTCTCAAACCTTTCGATATGACGAATTGCAAGCCCTGTTCAACACCAGCTGACAGAGACATATATTCCCTCGATGAGACTGAGAAACTCGAGGATATACCCTATCGAGAACTCATTGGAAGTCTCATGTATCTGCAGTTAGGTACCAGACCGGACATCTCATTTATCGTTGGTTATCTATCGCGCTTCGTAAGTCGAGAAGGCGGACGGTGGATGGCGAATGGTCATCGATTATCGCAGGCTGAATGTGCAGACAGTGAAGCAAAACTATCCATTGCCATTAATCGACGATATCCTTGACGAGGTCGGAGGGAGAAATTTATACTCAACCCTCGATTTGGCGTGGGGTTACTTTCAAATTCCCATGGGGAAGAGGGCAGCGGAAAAGGCAGCTTTTGTCACATCCGAGGGACATTACGAACCTCGAGTGATGATGATGGGGCTATGTAATGCACCAGCGAAATTCCAGGAACTAATAGTCGGGGTTGAAGAAATGGTAGGCGGAAGGCAAACGTTTCCTTTTCTGGACGATATGATCACAGCATCGGATAAGATGGATGATCATCTCAGGCAAATCGAGGGAATCTTAGGGGCATTGAAACAAGCAGGTCTCACAGTCAGGCTCCAGAAATGCAAATTCTTCATGAAGTCAGTACAGTTTTCAGGGTTCAAAATTTCCAAGGAGGGAGTACAGCCTGGGACTGGGAAATTAGAGGCGGTAGAGAAATTTAGATACCAAAGGATGTCCATGAAGTAAGGAGGTTCTTAGGACTGACATCATTCTTCAGGAGATTTGT